TTGCATAATTTATAACGCCATTTACTATCCAAATAATGAATTCATAACTGGGCCAAACCACTATTTAAGTTTGACCCAATATTATTTAAAACAAAGTCCACATAAAAAAGGTTTTTTGCCTACCATGATATAGTTTTATTAAACCAATGGTTAAACAAAAAGGCAAAATCGAACGGCTCATATTCTTTTTCTGATCGATATTTTCTAAATATTTCACCATCATTTCTCGAAAAATAGCTCTATTGTTGTCCATCTTCTGTATTCGAATGGAAAAAAAAATGATTTTTTTGATTTTTTTTTTCGTAAAATTTTATTATTTTTATCGAAGTATTTTTTGTTAAACGGGACTTCGTGCACTATTTTGAAGATCAATGTTTGAAATCCTGAAAGAAATCGTACAATCTTTGTCCGATACATTAAGGTTTTGTTTCATTTTATGAGGTTTTCCATCCTCCGCGTGCCTTCCATAAACACATCACCCTTCAAAAAATTTCTATTTTGCAATATGTTCGAAATCTGTCAATTTTGATAAGACCAGTCTCTCATATATTGTTTTGAGGTAAAAAAAAAAATGAAATCACACTCGTGTGTTTTTTATTTTATTTTTTATTATTTTTTTTGTTTTTGTTTCAAAACAACATCTAAAGTCGTGTATAGATATGAGATGATATTTTTTAAAAAATAATTGATATCTCTTGGATAAGTGTAAATTTAAATTTCGAAACAATATGGGTTCTGATTTTCCAAATAAAGATTCCGATCAGAAAAATGCCTTGCGTGAAACATGGAAGGTTGTTTCCATACGTAATAAATGTCAACTAACATATTTTGGCATGTTTTTAAATTAAAAGAAAAAAAAATCTAACAGAGCTTCACTAATTTTTAAAAATATTTTAAAAAAGAGGAAGTCAAAAGGTGGTGACCAGTTTTTTTATTAACTTTCCACACATGATTTATTGACCATCTTTTTTCAATATATATAGATTACAATTTGAGGACTTCCGGGCATTAAAGTTTGTGTCTTTCATGTTAAAGTTTACTTCCTGCGTTCATTCAAGCTTTCAATTTCATTCACTAAATCAATCACCAAAATTGCGAGTAGAGTGTTTAGTACATTTATTTTCCCTTTTGTGAATCAATTGTTACCGAAACCCGATTTCGAACAACATTACTCTAGAAACAGGACCCGAGGTCGGGATTTATCCAGTACTCGGCTAAAAAACTACAAACAGTAATACATGTATGTCCTACTAAAATCAATTGTTATGCGATGATGCCTTTTGATTTGAAAAATATCGACCACGTACTAGAGATTATTAGAGGACAAACTCTTGACCGGAGTATGGAGTTATACACAGATTACATGTTGGTGAAAAGCCTGAGAGCGAATACTCATCTAGCCATATGAGGTAGACATTAGTCAAGGAATACCTAACGAAACCAAACCCAGCTAAATCTACTAACGGACAGTACAAACAAGAAAATTCCTATACCTACTTGGTAACCTCCGAGTCCAAGCATGCTTCTAGGTTGCACTGTGTGCCTAGTGTAGGAAGCACTCGTCCAACCCAAGTGTATATCCTAGAATCATTTATTTAATTAAAAAAAATCTGTGGCAAAAAATAAAAGAAAAAAAAAAATGATGTGGACAAGAATCAAACAACGGATTATGGAAATTCTTAGAAAAATGGACTTCCATCATCCGTTTTTTTTTTTAAAAAAAAAGGATTTGAATCTTTTTTCAATTTTTTTTTTCTTTTTTTTTAGATTGGATTGTGAAATTCGGGCTCGTTAGGACTCGTCCGAACTCGGAATTGAGTTCTGTTTTTTCCTACATGTCGCCAACGAAGCCTTCTACGTATTATGCTTTCGAATCTAATTTATTCTTGAAAACCTATTCTCCCAAAGCTCTTGACCTGAAGTTGGCAGCTTCGGTGCACGACTTCGCATATCGGACCGTTCGGACTCGTCCGAACTCGAAATTGAGTTTCGATTCTTCGTACATGTCGCCAACGAATCCTATTAGTAGAGCATGCTTTCCTGACCAATTTTCGGGCTGGAACTATTCCTTGCGGGGCTTCCGGCCTAAAACGGGAAAAAAGAATAAAAAAAACGAAAAAGACTAGCAAAATTCAGACTCGTTTGAGCTCGTCCGAACTTGAAATTGAATTCCGTTTTTTCCTACATGAAGCCAACGAAGCCTTCTACATAACTATGCTTTCAAATCCAACCTATTCATGAAAACCTATTATCCCAAAGCTCTTGACCTAAAGTTGACGGATCTTGCACGACTTCGTATATCGGGACCGTTAGGACTCGTCCGAACTCAAAATTGAGTTTCAATTCTTCCTACATGTCTCTAACGAATCTTACTACTAGATCATGGTTTTCTGACCAATTTTCGGGCTGGAACTATTCCTTGCGGGGCTTTCAGCCTAAAACGGGGGAAAAAATAAAAAATAAAAAAAAAAAAAACGAAGAAGACCAGCAAAATTCAGGCTCGTTTGGGCTCGTCCGAACTCGAAATTGAATTTCGTTTTTTCCTACATGTCGCCAACAAAGCCTTTTATGTAATTATGCTTTTAAATCCAACCTATTCTTGAAAACCTATTATCTCAAAGCTCTTGACTTGAAGTTGGCGGCTTCCTTGCACGACTTCGCATATCGGGACCGTTCGGACTTGTCTAAACTCGAAATTGAGTTTCGATTCTTCCTACATGTCGCCAACGAATCCCACTACTTGAGCATGCTTTTAGGGCAATTTTTTGGGCTGAAAATATTTCTTGCGGGGCTTCCGACCTAAAACGGTGGAAAACAAAAGGAAAAACAAAAAATAAAAACTAG